CCCCCGAATGCCCCCCCCCCCCCTAGGATTTATGCTCAAATCAAGGGGAAAGCTATTTACATCAGAAGAAAGGGAGGTGGGGTTGTGAGGTTCAGAGGTTGAAGGCTTGAAGAAAACACAAGTATTCTCTGCTTGCTAGCATCTACTCTCAACTTTTTTCTAGTTGTTTTCTCCATCTTTAACATCAAAATGTTATCACCAAACATCCGAAACCTTCCAAAGAGTTCTGTTCTACTGGATTCCTTTCTCCAAAGATGTCTGGATAATGTCAGTCTCCTATTCCTCCAGTGAGTGAAATTCTCCCATTTCCAATGCCTGCTCTTCAGGTGATACTACTAGAGCTTAAAAAAAAACCCTCTCTACATGATGATCCTAAGTCAATTGCAGACTCACACCCTAAAACTGCAGGAAATTTTGTTGCTTTTTATCATTCACCAGAGTTTTTGCGTGATTGTGTCATCTTCTGTATTACATATCTCAGAACAAGTACATGCAGCCCTAACATAAAAAAGACCTCTTGCCCCATGTTTCTTTCCCCTCTTTTGACAGTCAGTCTTCCCATCTGATATTAATATTTTGATCTTGTGAACTTGTGATCTGTGAAGTTTCTGCTCTATCAATTAAAGTACCTTCATTACTGCACACAGAAATGTTGTGTTCAGAGCTTGCCTAACCTTGGAGGTGGCATATATATTGTGCGTGCAGGAGGAAGATAACTGGCTATGGGTGAAAGGACACTAGTGAGAAGATGAAATTCAGAAAAAAACAGTAGTCACTCCTAATAGCTCCTATGTCCCTCCTGGTACAGAGGATCAGGGCTGTTGATTCCCTGCATCTTATAATGATCAGATGCAGCTTGCTGCCTAGAGATGGAAGAGAACAATCTATGTTAAGCAGACAGAACTGGGAACAAACCAAGAATGAGGACCACCTGAATTTGGGAGGTGTAATCTGGATCTAGACTGGTTTTCTGACAGCTTTCAGTAATTAGGCAAGCAAAGTGAAGAACGCAAGTCTTGGTCATCTTGGTCATCATTTGAATCTAGGTCCAGTGTCTGGGAACCTTTGCCTTATGTCAGCTCCAGTCTCAAACTCAAACTCAAAGGTTTCAGAAAGTGTGACTATTCCTTCACTACCAGGCTATCCATGACTGCACACCTGGAAACCCTTCACAAACCCACAGATACTCCAGCCATGATCAGAAACTACAGAATGATTTATATTGGCATTTTATCCCCAAGATGCTATTATTTAGGCTACGATTTCTTTTTCTTTCCTGCAGACTAACAACTTCCTTCTTCTTGCCAGTATCCCAGCCACTGTGTCTTCCCTCAGTGCTTGCCTAGCTTGTGAGGGCAGTTTTCACAACGAAAACTCAGGAATGCCTCTGCAAACCCACTCGAAGCATCCTCAGAGCTGCTTTTCCAATCTCGCCTTTCTATTTTGGGCTGGATGCCTTTATACCGGGAGCTACTGTTGTTAAGGCAGCCATCTCCTATTCACAGAAGTATTTGCAAGGAGATGAAAGTTTGTCTAACGACATGGCATGTTTTCTTGTCACAAGCCCTGGTCATGTGCCCTCGTCTGCACTCCAAGACAAATCTGTTTCAGAGGCAGCTCATGCCTGGCCATGACAATGCAGTCAAACAGGAGAATGAAAATTTTGTCTGCCTTGTGACAGAGCAGTGATAACAAAAGCTTAATGATGTTACGGTGACAGTTGCAGAAACATCTGTGATTTTACCCCTCATATATACTCTTATTACCTCTGGCAACTCTCTGGAAATTGTTGGCAAGCTTCAACAGAGTCAAACGGAACACCTATATTCCTGTCCATCACAGAAGAAAGATAAAACACACTAAAGTCAGCAGGCAAGTATCCATTACAGTCTTAAGAAATGCGCAAGCTAAACTTCCCACCTCCAACTCCCGATCAGCCCTTAGGAAAAAAAAATAAATCTGATGGCAAAGCTTCTCAAGGCCGTGCTTCACCAGATAAGTGGTTTCTGATTTTATGGGTCTGCACAAATAGTGTCATTCTAAATCATTCTAAAAGGGTAAGTTCTGCATGTTATACATGTTATATGATGCAGATCAAACAGCTTCTGTAAATTGGCTTTGGATTCGCAGTACAGGCCAGACATCATTTGGTGCAACCTGGGAGCCCTCCTTGTGTCTGGCTTATTTGCACTCTTCTGTCCAACCTGTCCTAGCAAAAACCAGCTACAGCTGATTGTCAGGGCCCACACTAAACACTGTGATTTCTGGTCACTGGACTCACCTTCTTTCATTTTCCACCGGCTCCTGCATTTCTGTCTCACCTTGATATGATGCTTCCACCTTTGCAGGCTTCTCTCCACAGGCTGATGGTTGGCACGCTGTGTCAAAGGCTTGTCTGTTGTGGGAAATGAGCTAAGTTTTGCTTCAGCTAATTGACATATTCTTGTTAGTGTGTCAGTACTAACAAAGGAGTCTTAGTGGTAGTAGAGTCTAATAAATTGTCTTCAATTAATCCCCAGAAATGCCCTTGGTCTGTCAAGCTCATGGGGCTTGGGCTTTAGAGGGGCATTACGGATTTGTGGGAACCGTGCTTCAGGAACATGTTATGATGTTGGATACATAATGCCTTTCTTCTTCCTGCTGTCTGATACACAGGCCGCTGGGCTGCGTGTCCAGTTATATGATGGATTGAGGGAGAAAGGGTCAACTCTCGAGACAGGAGGGACTCAAAGATGGGGACAGGATGAATGGGTCCCCTCAACGCATCATAGAAACTTATGGACCGGCAGCATGGGCACAGGATGGTAGCTGGGGATATCGAACACCTGTTTATATGCTCAATAGAATAATTAGGCTACAAGGCATTCTCAGAGTGATTACTAATCAAACAGCATCAGCGTTAGACTTACTGGCAGTCCAACAAACACAGATGCGAACGGCACATTTGTGATTTTACCCCTCATATATATTCTTAATATAAAGAATCACATTACCTCTGGCAACTCTCTGGAAATTGTTGGCAAGCTTCAACAGAGTCAAACGGAACACCTATATTCCTGTCCATCACAGAAGAAAGATAAAACACACTAAAGTCAGCAGGCAAGTATCCATTACAGTCTTAAGAAATGCGCAAGCTAAACTTCCCACCTCCAACTCCCGATCAGCCCTTAGGAAAAAAAAATAAATCTGATGGCAAAGCTTCTCAAGGCCGTGCTTCACCAGATAAGTGGTTTCTGATTTTATGGGTCTGCACAAATAGTGTCATTCTAAATCATTCTAAAAGGGTAAGTTCTGCATGTTATACATGTTATATGATGCAGATCAAACAGCTTCTGTAAATTGGCTTTGGATTCGCAGTACAGGCCAGACATCATTTGGTGCAACCTGGGAGCCCTCCTTGTGTCTGGCTTATTTGCACTCTTCTGTCCAACCTGTCCTAGCAAAAACCAGCTACAGCTGATTGTCAGGGCCCACACTAAACACTGTGATTTCTGGTCACTGGACTCACCTTCTTTCATTTTCCACCGGCTCCTGCATTTCTGTCTCACCTTGATATGATGCTTCCACCTTTGCAGGCTTCTCTCCACAGGCTGATGGTTGGCACGCTGTGTCAAAGGCTTGTCTGTTGTGGGAAATGAGCTAAGTTTTGCTTCAGCTAATTGACATATTCTTGTTAGTGTGTCAGTACTAACAAAGGAGTCTTAGTGGTAGTAGAGTCTAATAAATTGTCTTCAATTAATCCCCAGAAATGCCCTTGGTCTGTCAAGCTCATGGGGCTTGGGCTTTAGAGGGGCATTACGGATTTGTGGGAACCGTGCTTCAGGAACATGTTATGATGTTGGATACATAATGCCTTTCTTCTTCCTGCTGTCTGATACACAGGCCGCTGGGCTGGGTGTCCAGTTATATGATGGATTGAGGGAGAAAGGGTCAACTCTCGAGACAGGAGGGACTCAAAGATGGGGACAGGATGAATGGGTCCCCTCAACGCATCATAGAAACTTATGGACCGGCAGCATGGGCACAGGATGGTAGCTGGGGATATCGAACACCTGTTTATATGCTCAATAGAATAATTAGGCTACAAGGCATTCTCAGAGTGATTACTAATCAAACAGCATCAGCGTTAGACTTACTGGCAGTCCAACAAACACAGATGCGAACGGCACATTTGTGATTTTACCCCTCATATATATTCTTAATATAAAGAATCACATTACCTCTGGCAACTCTCTGGAAATTGTTGGCAAGCTTCAACAGAGTCAAACGGAACACCTATATTCCTGTCCATCACAGAAGAAAGATAAAACACACTAAAGTCAGCAGGCAAGTATCCATTACAGTCTTAAGAAATGCGCAAGCTAAACTTCCCACCTCCAACTCCCGATCAGCCCTTAGGAAAAAAAAATAAATCTGATGGCAAAGCTTCTCAAGGCCGTGCTTCACCAGATAAGTGGTTTCTGATTTTATGGGTCTGCACAAATAGTGTCATTCTAAATCATTCTAAAAGGGTAAGTTCTGCATGTTATACATGTTATATGATGCAGATCAAACAGCTTCTGTAAATTGGCTTTGGATTCGCAGTACAGGCCAGACATCATTTGGTGCAACCTGGGAGCCCTCCTTGTGTCTGGCTTATTTGCACTCTTCTGTCCAACCTGTCCTAGCAAAAACCAGCTACAGCTGATTGTCAGGGCCCACACTAAACACTGTGATTTCTGGTCACTGGACTCACCTTCTTTCATTTTCCACCGGCTCCTGCATTTCTGTCTCACCTTGATATGATGCTTCCACCTTTGCAGGCTTCTCTCCACAGGCTGATGGTTGGCACGCTGTGTCAAAGGCTTGTCTGTTGTGGGAAATGAGCTAAGTTTTGCTTCAGCTAATTGACATATTCTTGTTAGTGTGTCAGTACTAACAAAGGAGTCTTAGTGGTAGTAGAGTCTAATAAATTGTCTTCAATTAATCCCCAGAAATGCCCTTGTTCTGTCAAGGGATCCTGGTACGCAGAGCGTTATCCTGGTGAAGAGAAACAGACTGGAACACGGCCTTCAACACAGGAACCCAGAGGGTTAGGGGAGTATCCATAAGGCCAAAGAAACCAGTCTTGGACTGTAAACCTGCCAAGTAGATGGTAGCAAAGACTGTGAAATAACGCGTAGCATAATCAACTAATCAACGGCGTGTTTAGGATAATGATTTCGTAGAATAGGTGTATGTGTGCCTTACGTGGGAAAAATGTGTGAACTAAACCTGTAATAAGTCAGGCGGTCGGGAAGAAGGTGAGCTCCAGCTTCTCAGCCAGTGAGAAGAGAGACAGAAACTCAGGCAGCCGGGATAAGGGTATAAAACACCTGAGAGCTGAAAGATCGGCGTTCATCTCTTTTTGGTGCACCCGACGCAGCGCTGTTTCCTATTAATAAATTTTTTTAACCTTTGCTTTGGTGACTTTGTGCTCTTTAAATTCTAAGATGTGAGTTGGTGTTTCTCACACTGAGGAAAAAAGAAAATGGAATTCTTAAAATGAAGGGGGAAAAAATGCAAGTGTCTATTCTGCTGAAATCAACTTTGCGACATACTGGTGTGGGGGTTTTTAATAGAGAAGAACAAAGCTGTATGTTCTTAAGGTAATTTTTATTTCTATAACTGCTTTATGCCCTATTTCCTAATGAGTATCCCCAAAAGACAATCCCAGGCTGAGTTCTCCTGCAGCTTGGATACAGGTGGAGGAGACAGCAAGCTCCTTCCTGCAGCAAGGCAATGCCAGGGAAAGCCTAAGCAAGAGGCTTCACCATCACTTTATGCTCATCCAAGTCTGCATGGCTTCTGCAAGGGATTATTCTGCCCCTCTCTCCCAGCACTTCCTTGCTCCTTTTCTACTAAAACCTATTTTGGATTTGTTTATATCATGGTTTCAGCTGGGATGGAGTTAATGTTTTTGCTAGCAGCTGGTGTAGTGCTATGTTTTGGATTTAGGATGGGAATAGTGTGATAGCACACTGGTGGTTTTGGTTGCTGCTAAGCAATCAAGGCCTTTTCTGCTCCTCACCCCACCCTACCAGCAAGCAGGCTGGAAGAGCACAAGAAGTTGGGAGAGGACACAGCTGGGACAACTGACCCCAACTGACCAAAGGGCTATTCCATACCAGGTGATGTCATGCTCAGCAATAAAAAGCTGGGGGCAGAAGAAGGAAGAGGGGGATGTTCAGAGTGATGGCATTTGCCTTCCCAAGTAACCCTTATGCGTGACGGAGCCCTGCTTTCCTGGAGGTGGCTGAACACCTGCCTGCTGACAGGAAACAGTGAATGAAGTCCTTGTTTTCCTTTGGTCTACTGCCTTTACCTCAACCCATGAGTTTTTTATCAGTTCTGCTTTTCTGATTGTCTTCCCATCGCAGCTGGGGGGAGTGAGTGAGCAGCTGCATGATTCTAGCTCCAACTGGGGTTAAACAATGACAGTTTACTTGGATGGACTTCTTTTCAGTCAAATCACTTCATTTCCAGTCTTTCATTGAGGACATCTTTTTCTCTTTAAGCTCAAAAATCCAGTGTAAAATCTGCATTTAAGTCAGCCTTTCTCTGCAAAACTGATGAGTTTAGAGAATGAGTCCCTGAAGTCCAGGATCTGTTACACTGTTTAATACTATTCTTTCCAATTTCTCTTCCTCTCACATTTATTTAACATCTGCCTCACCCTTTAGAGCTGAACTTGAACTGAATTTGAAGAAACTAACCATCCCTGTGATGGATAGGAAGGACAGGAAGTAGAAAACAGAGCTTTTACTGAAATATTTCAGTTGGGAAATGTTGCAGTCCCTCGTTGCAACCCCTCAAGGGACTTTGTAGAAGTATGCAGACCTACTAAGGTTAAACTTGTTACGTCACCCAAAGACATCCCCTGTGCAACGTACCTGCAACTTCTTGCAGCCATCTCTCGAGGATTAGTGCCTTGACACAGTCCTTCAAACACCCTCCTTCAGCTGTAGGAATAAAAATCAGGTTCTGCTGTAGGAAGAAATCTTCCACACAGGCAGGAGAGCAGGCAGCTACTGCAAGCACCAGGCGCTTCGTTGTTTTCACAAGAGGACTTTCTTGCTATAAATAACAGAAACAAGCCCTTCTTTTTTCCAGGAAAAGGTACTGTTTCTTTGCAGTGTGACTAGTATCTCTCCGGAGATGAGGTCAGGGCAGGAGTGGCTTCACCCTGTATTTTCAGCCAGAGCAATTTCAGTTTCATTCCAGTCCTACTCATTTACTCCTCTGTAGCTCCCCAAGCTGCACATCTCTGTACTACTGTCCGCCATGGCCAGCAAGTCTGTCTTCGTTGTTGCTATAGATTTTGGCACTTCCTACAGCGGGTACTGTTTTTCCCTTGCTTCAAGTACAGACCAAATCCGTCAGGTGTACTGGGGAGTAGAGCATGGGCTCAAGACCCCAAAGACACCCACATGCATCTTGTTCAACCAGAAGCAGGAGTTCAGAAAATTTGGCTATGATGCTCTGATGAAGTATAAGAGCCTGCCCTCCAGTGAAACTGACAACTGGTACTTCTTCCAGAACTTCAAGATGCAGCTGTACAACACAGTAGGTGGAATCGTTACTGCTAATGGGAGTCAGAGCTATTAGTTTATTTGAGGGGTGGGGGTTAGATGAATTAGTGAAGGGGGCTGAGTACATCTGAGGATGAATGAATGGAAATCAAAGGGCATTTTGATGAACTGAAGACAAAATTATTTATTTTCTTAATTAGACAAAGGCTTCACAGGCCCTTCCTTTACGATGCTATTAAGTATCTAAAGACAATAAAACCTGACTGCATACCTCGGTGAAGCCAAATACTTGTTCTTAATGAAAAGCTTTCTCAAAATGAAACAACTGAAGCTTCCTGTAATTCAAAGGAGGTGGGCAACCTCAGGTTCACCATGTTATATTCCTCCCTCTAGCTTGTCTCTCCCTCCCCTGAAGAGGTATGCTGAAGCCAATTTAAGGGTGGCTAGCTGTCCTTCAAGCATGTAGTTGCTGTCATTCTGTTATTTTTCTCTGAAGGCTCTGTGTTAGTTCAGAATTGTTCCCAGCTCTTTCTGGGTTTGCTTGTTCAGCCAAACATTAGGCTGCTTTAGGGCCTCCTTGTCTGTGCTCTGGGGTCCCACATGGCCTCCCAAAGATGGAATAACCCAGAGCACAGGGCCAGCCCCAGATAAAGTCTCCTGTCTGTTCTTTAGCACTCCCCAGCGCTAAGCAATAAGCACTGAACTGGATGTGGGGGAAGGCAGTAAGTGGGAGGCCTCGGTGAAGACTTCCTTCCCTGGGAAAGCTGGGAATGATATGGTCTGCTACAACGTCACTCATGGAGTGGTGGGTTCTCACTTTCAGAGGAGTCTGGAGAGAGGTTTAAGTTCAACACCACTTCTCTGCACCCAAGAAGAAAATGTTTAAGGGAAATTTCATTAGAGAATCACAGAATGGTTGAGGTTGGAAGGCACCTTTGGAGGTCACCTACTCCAACCTCTCTGCTCAAGCAAGGTCACCAAGACCTGGTTGCCCAGAAATGTTGTCCAGCCAGCTTTTGAAGATCTCCAAGGATGGAGATTCCACAACCTTTCTCAGCAACCATTACAAGGGCTCAGAAAAAAGAAAGGGGAACACCTGTTCCCAGGCACATAAGTAGTTATTGCTGAATCTCCACAGAAACTGTCTGTGGAGGACATGTCATAACAGCTTCCTTATAGCATCTTCTTCTATCTGAGCCAGCAACAGTGACAGGAAATGAAATTGTAAGTAAAAATGAGTATAGCTTTCCTTTCTCTTAAGTGACTGCATCTGCAGAATGAGACTCACCTTACCTTTCCTGGTTCCGTTATTTAAGCTAGGCAGCACCTGCACCTGCCTGGTTTTCTCCATTGGCTGTGAATGATCCCTAGTTAATGGAGCTGATTATGCAGTTGATAATCCTTGTAATTTTGAACCATTTTGGTGGCTGCTGAAGCAAAACAAAGCGAAGCATGTATGTGAAGGCTGGCTCCTGAAACCTCTTTGGATACAGGCAACAGTCCCCACTGTTTCTAGACGAGTAGGCAATCAAGAGCTGATGGAGGGAGTCTGGATCTCCTGGGAGAGACTAAAAAAAGCATCGGAGCAGCCACCTGCCTCAAGCTGCAGATACTCTCAGGGAGATACATAAGCCAAGAGGCCCCATTATAGGGAAAGTGTCAGACCAGAGGGTTATGTGTCTACATGTTTCTCCAGCATATATTTTGTTAATGCCATACACAGAAGTATAGGTGGAACCAGAAAGATCTGAAGTCTCTGTACATATGCCTGGGAAATGCATGGTGATGTCACTTATAAAGAACAATTATCTCCATGGGCTGTTTGGGAGGATTTGCAGAGCATTTACCAAATTTGGCCCAGGAGAAACAGCTGACTTATCAACCACATTGAATCACAGATGACATGGATAAGTGTCTTGGTAGCTGACTTGTGTCAATCATTAAGGCTGCAGTTCACCACAATACTGAAACCATTGCTGGGAATTTACTTGCTTTTGGAGACAAGACCTTCTTCTGTGCCGTATGTTGGGCAGTGCTCAGAGCAAAAGGGACAAATCTTTTGCTGAGACTACAACGTGTGACCCTGAGACTTTCTTTGTAGAAAGTCACATCTGGCATGGAAGTGGAAGCCAGCAATGGAAAGACGCTCCCTGCCCTAGTGGTCTTTTCAGAAAGCCTGCGCTACCTGAAGGAACATGCCCTTGAAACCATCCGAGAGGCCTCTTTCCAAACTGTCTGCAACCAGGAGGAGATCACCTGGGTCATTACTGTCCCAGCCATATGGCACGCTGCTGCCAGGCAGTTCATGCGGCTGGCAGCAAAAAAGGTAAAAGCAGAGGTTATCCCACTTCCTCAAAACATCTTTTGAGATTCCTTACCCATCAAGCCAGAGGAACTCCTCAACATTTAAACAACCTATATTTCAAATTTCAGTCTAGCAAGGAGAGAAATCTCCCACTTGGGGAGCGGGGAGGGGAGAGGATTTCCCAAACCATCAGTAACAACTGCTCTTTCACCCCACCACCTTGTAGAAATGAGCCCCACAGAGATCAGCGCTGCAAGAACCATCACCCCAGCGTGGGCTCCTGGGGGTGGTGAGAACAGCCTCCCTAGCAGGTGGCATTTGTACAGTGGTGATCTCGCCACCTTTCCTTGAACCGACACTTATCTCTTGTGTTTTTAGGCAGGACTCATCTCTGACATGATTTCTGAGAAGCTGATTATTGCCCTGGAGCCGGAAGCTGCCTCACTTTGGTGCAAGCAGCTTCCACAGGAAGGGTTTATGGCAACCGATAGTGACAAGAAGAAGTTTGAAGAAACCCCTGGGATCCAGTATGTTGTTGTTGACTGTGGAGGTAAAATTTTCCCAGTTTAACATGTACCATCTTTGCTGGGGGTGGAACATGGGTGCTTTGCAATGTCTAACACAGTGGGTCCCAAAGGAGACAGAGCTTGGACTTCACTCCTGTGCTTGTCATGGGGTTTTTGTTTTTATTTCTCACTGAATGAGATCCATGGGCAGGCAGAAAAATAGGAGGAAAAGACAGATCAGTCTGTACCATGTCCCAGCTTCAGCCACTGATGTGCACCCACATGCTGTTGTATGGCCTGAGCTCACAGTCTCCTCTGTAGAAGCAAGTGTAGCACCCAATGAATTGACCAAAGAGATTAGCTAGCAGGTCCTGTAGAGCAAGTCATGAAGAACATTTCATGGCGTATTTCTTAGCAATTTCTGTAGTTTCCTATGCAAGTCTTTTTGTTGTAATGTGAATTTCCTCTCAAGAGCAGTCTGGTGGTTGTGAACAGATACTGAAACGGCATCCAGAGGACCAGAAGTTTCTGAAAATCTCACCACCGCTGCTCATCTTATCTCAGAGCTTCTCTATCAAAAGGCAGGAGAGGACAGTCTCCTTTTATGACTAGAAAGGAGATCGGCTTGTGCAGGAAGCAAGCCAGAACATCCAGCTCTCATTGGCAATTACGGTGGAATCATAGGATGGTTAGAGTTGGAAGGGACCTTAAAGATCATTGTGTTCCAACCCCCCTGCCATGGACAGGGACACCTCCCACTAGACCAGGTTGCACAAAGCCCCATCCAGCCTGGCCTTGAACACTTCCAGGGATGGGGCATCCACAGCTTCTCTGGGCAACCTGTTCCAGTGTATCACCACCCTCACAGTAAAGAATTTATTTCTAGTATCTGATCTAAATCTCCCCTTTTTCAATTTAAAACCATTATCCCTAGTTCTATCACTACATTCCCTGATAAAGGGTGCCTCCCCAGGCTAGGAGCTTTGAGAGACCAGGCTTGTAAACACAAGTACGTGAGTTCAGGAAATTTAGAGGTGTGCAGGCAACAGTGGAGGAGTGAGGATAAGAAAAGAAAGCAGCAGAAAAGCACAGTTGTGAACCAGGAGTTCAGAAGGTAAGATTATGTTCAGTGGAAAGTAAGGACCTCATGTACTGTAAAGAAAACAGCTAACTCTGTGTGTGTGTGTGTGTGTGTAGGTGGCACAGTAGACATCACAGTACATGAGATCCAAGAAAACCATTGCCTGAAGGAGCTACACAAGGCAGCTGGAGGTGGATGGGGAGGCAACAGAGTGGATGAAAACTTCACCTATTTCCTCAAGGAAATATTTGATGATGGTGTATGGGATGAATATGTAAAGAGCCACCCTACCGAATTAGAACAGATGATGTACAACTTTGGTTTACAGAAATGCTCTGCTAGCAGGGAGGACATCTACATACATTGCTACTACAACTTGACCAAATTGGCAGCGTGCAAAAAGGACATCTCCGAATTCTTCAAAAAATCAAAAGCAAAGGGAGCTGTGTGGTGTGATGGGATGATCATGGTTACATATGATAAAATGAGGACCTTTTTTGACTACAGTATCAAAAATATAATTCATACTTTGAGGGAAATTCTTAGCAAGCCTGGGATGACCAAGGTCCAGTACATTTTGCTTGTGGGAGGTTTTGCATCTAGCATCATCTTGAGAGATGCAGTCAGTCAGGCCTTTAGAAAGAAGTACCATATCCTTTGTCCAATGGACGCCCAAGTGGCCATTGCAAAAGGGGCTGTTTTATTTGGAGTCAATCCACACATTGTTGCCTCAAGAGTCAGTGCTCGGACATATGGCTTAAGAGTAATTCATAAATTTGATGCTGCTATCCATGACGTCCGTAAACGAAGGGTCTCAAAAGCTGGTGACTATATTTATTGCACAGATCTCTTCCAGAAATTGGTGGGAATTGAGGAATCAGTGAATATAAATGACGTTTCTCATTATGATTTCTATCCAGTAGAACCAGATCAGACAGAGGCGCACTTTTCTTTCTATTGCACAGAAAAGCAGGATGCTCAATATGTAGATGAGGAAGGGATGGAACTGCTTGGCTCCTGTACAGTGCCAATGCCAGACACAAAGCTGGGGAAGCAACGCCGACTGCAGCTGGATATTAAATTTGGGGTCACTGAATTTAAAGCCACGTGTACTGACATAACTTCCAAGCAAAGTCGGGCAATTATGATAAATTTTTTAGCTAGGTAAATGCTCAGTAGATCAAGCGGCAAGGGCAATAAATCAAGGGTTTTAGTGTGAAGCAAATAACTCCTACAACCATAAAGTCCATCATCCAGTGTTCTACTTGCACAGGTAAACAATTTGCTAGTCTGATTCTCTGGTTCCTTCCATTCTTCAAACACCCTTTCAATCTTGGTTAGCTGGAACCGCTGCATGAAAACTCAGCACTGGCATCTTTATTAGCTGTAATGACTGCGTTAGAATCACTTAATCACTAAAGCAGCATTCAGAGAATTGATCTGTATATATACTATGCCCTATGATGTATAAAAGCTGAACTGTTTTGACTGCATCACCTTTGTTTTCACATTTAAAATCTTATGCACACAATAAAAGTATTCACAGCAGAAACCTGTGTACATTTCTTTCATGTCAGATGGTACTTCTCTGCAAACTATGTTAGGGCCATTCTAGGTGGCTGGGTCCCAAAAAGCTGAGTACTCCTGCTTTTTTCTTACCCTTTGGACTTGATACTTTCACCAGTGCAAAGTGCAACACAGCTCCAACCATGCCTGCTCTCTGAATGGGAGAGAGAAGTGCTGTCTGGCGGCTGCTGGGAAAGCCACATGCGTCTGCCCCCCATCTTTCCCAACTGTACACTCTGTGGACTTTGGCATTCAGACACTGACACCAACATTCATGACTGCAGCTCCTGATTTCTCTTGTTTTGATGAGCTGGCAATGTTGATAACCTCAGATAGTGAGCATGGAGCAGATGCAGGTGTTTGTCATCTCTGTAAAAGCAACACTAAGTGTCAGCATCTCAAGCCAAACATCTGAAAAACCTGGCAACACCTGCTGTGGGGGGCTCTAACCTCAGTCTGGCAGTATGGGGGCTGTTGGGGCAATAGGAGTTATAGCTGCTGAGCCCTTTCCAGCCATCCTCTGCAACAGGCCTGTCTGCTGAGCTGGGGATTAACTCCTGTTGTGTAGCAAGCAGGGTGGTTCATTTATGTCAAACGTGAAACTTCAATAACATCACAAACTTTCAAGGAGAAGAAAAGACGGGAAGCTTTGCAGTACCTGTGACAGGGGCATCAACGAGCTCTGCAGGCAGTCACGGCTGCAGGTTCCTAAATGGCTGGGTGGGTAGAAGATGCTGTCCATTTCTGTCACCGCAGCTTGCCGGCTGCCTTCTGCACAAAGCACATGATTTCCTGGAAACAAGTACCACTTTGCAGAGCTGCTGCCCTTACCCTACACTGCAGCAGGAGGTACATGCTCTGTTTCCTGTGCTGGGGACAGAGCCAGGAAAAGCTTGGCTGTCACACACAGCCCAAAATACCATGGCTGTGCTCCCTGCCTGGGATTTCCCAGCGCCTTCTGCCCCCTGGCCTGGCCCTGCTTGCTGCGGAGCATCCCCTCCCTGCCCTCTCTGCAGTACTGCCCAGCACCCCACGTTAGAAAATATTTCTCCCCATTCAGCAGAAATTACACTTAAGAGCGCTCTCTTCCTTTGGGACATTAAATAAAACAAACCACGTGAGAGGAAAAACAAATAAACAGAGCACTCGTCCTTTTTTTCACAGTGATAACCATTTTGAGGCAAAAAGAAAAAAAAAACAGGCTTCTGGAGCTTTTTTGTTTTAAACACGGGAGACCCCAGAGGTATGGTAACAGATGTGCATAAGCCCATTAGAGATGTCAAAACTTTATGAGGTATTACTGCCTTCATCTTACAAAGAGGACTCGACAAATTGTGCAGGAGGAAAATAGAATATAATTTTTCCAAAACAGCAGAAGTAACACCAGAAGATGAAAGGAAAGAATAGAAAAGCATGTCACAGAGAGCAGGGTGACACAGTTGAGAGCATCATTGTTTCTCCTGTGAGGGAAGAGGTCAGGGAATGCCCTGTGCCACTCACAACCAGCTCAGCAACAGACAAAATTGACCCCTTGCACCCCAAAACTGGACAAACCAGATGAGTTTATGGTGCTTCTGCAGAAACACGTTTAAGAAAGGGCAGTGAACGCTGAAAAAGGAGAGACAAGGCCAGGGCAGATATAACACCCAACAGGATAGTGACAGGTGGAGGACCACATGCCAAAACAGTTGAGTAGGACACAAGGAGCAGCAAGAGCAAAGGGACCTCCACGCAGCAAGCCCCAGCTCCCGCACTGCCCGTGGTCTCACCAAAGAGCCTGTGTGTAACCTGCGGCACAGGGGTGAGAGACCAGGATGGAGGGAAGAGAGGTGTCTAAGTGTTGGTTGGTTTGTTACTTGGCAATAAATTAATTTGACTGAAATTTCTCAACTCTAAATGGGTATTTTTTTGGATTTTTTTGGACCACGACAGGATGTCTGGCAATATATCAAGTGAATGAGTACCTTTGTACTGCAGAAGCTGAGGTTTGATTGTGAACTGCTGCAAACAGAAACCAAAGGGGAGAGAAACAAAGGGCGAACAGGGAAGATGGAGAGGAGAAGACTAAGAAAGCTAAGAGGGAAGACTCATCCTCAAGCAATGTGCATTGCTACCACAGCTCAGGCCAGAGACCCTGGCTTACCTCCACGATCCAGCTTCTCCTGCAAGTGTCCACAGCGAGTCAGGGTAGACCAGGATCTGCAAGGAGAACATGACACCTACAGAGAGGAAGAAAAATCAGGTCTCCCTCCAAGCTCCAAACCTGCCTGAGCCCCTTTCCCTTTGGCTCAAGTTAGTGCCACTCTTTCTTCAGGAGCTCCCAGGCCACCCATGGCAAACACCTGATGCGTGTTCTGCTCTCATAGAATCATAGAATTGTCTAGGTTGGAAGGGACCTTAAAGATCATCTAGTCCAACCATCAACCTAGCTCTGACAAAAAAATAAATAAGAAATAAGCAATAAAAAAATCACTAAACCATATTCTTGAGGACCATGTCAACCCATCTTTTGAGCACCTCCAGGGATGGTGCTTCAACCACTTCCCTGGGCAGCCTATTCCAATACTGGATAACCCTTTCCGTGAAGAAATTTTTTGTGATATCCAATCTAAACCTCCCCTGGCGCAACTTAAGGCCATTTCCCCTTGTCCTCTCTCTTGTGACTTGGGAGACGAGACCGACCCCAGCTTCTCTACACCCCCGCTTCAGGTAGTTATAGAGCGTGATAAGGTCTCCCCTCAGCCTCCTCTTCTTCACACTGAACAACCCCAGCTCCCTCAGCCTCTCCTCATAAGACTTACTCTCCATACCCCTCACCAGCTTCCTTGCCCTTCTCTGGACCTGCTCTAGCACCTCACTGTCATTTTTGTGGTGAGGGGCCCAAAACTGGACACAGTACTCGAGGCGAGGCCTCACCAGTGCCGAGTACAGAGGGACAAAAACTTGGTGCTTTCCCTACTGAGATCCTCCCAGGTGGTTTAGGCTCCCAAGGTCTGGAACTGCCAGCTCCTACAGTGCCGTCTCTGCTCCTTCCTCTGTGTCCCTGTGCTGGGGGCTGGGCTTGGCCGACCGGTGCTTCTCTCCTTTGTGTTTGCCTTCAAGGAAGCAGTGGTCCCAGCAGCACAACAAGCGTGTCCCCTCCCTGGGGCTCTCCTGAAATCAGCGACACTTTTTTGAGGATTTGGGGATGAGAAAGCAGAAGGCTGTGCAGCTTGGTATCAGACCATTCTTTTTGCTGAGGTGGAAAGGGAGAGGGAGGGAAGAGGGGAGTTAGATTCGGTGAAGTAATTTGAGGCATCCCTCAGCAGCGGTGGGACAAGATTGACTGGTCTCTGTGAGGTTGCAAACACCCTTTTCCTTCTGCCCTGGGGTACCCAGCTGGTTTTACTTGCTGTGCTACACATTTCTCCCTCGTGCCTGTTCCTTCCCTACTCTAAAGCATCTCAAACAATACAAGGTTTTGTCTGCACTTGGCGTCCAGCAGCAGCAGCAGAAGTTCCTCAAGCCCCTTAGCCCTTATTTTGTGTGCATGCCCTGGACTTAACTAGAGCATTCCTGCCAAAGGTTAAGCCCAGGCGCCGTGGGGATAATCCAAGATTTTTTATTGCCTTCAGTTCCAAGTGACCGTGACAATAAGAGGTGCACACGCGCTGTCTATAGCTCCTCGCTCACCCTTCTCCTGCCCCTTATCTCTTTCTCCCTTCCAGGCAGGTAGGGCTTATGGATAGGACAGAGATCTCAGCTGCAAGCCAAGAGGATTAGGGTAGCAAATTACTGGTGCTTGTGCCTTGATGTCCTGCACCCATTTATCTCTGGTGTTAAGATGACATGGCTTGCAAGGGCTCTGCTGCCATGGATGCTGTGCCCATGCTGCCGTCACTGTTCCCACAACGGTGGCGTTCTGGGATTGTAATGTCTCCCACATGCCCAGTATCGAGGCTGGGAGCAGCATGGGACAAGCCCCAGTTAAACCAGAGGGCGTGACTGCAGGACCGGAGAGAGCTTCTGGATCTGAAAAATGGGAAATCTTTGGACTGAAGGAGCAAGAAGTGCTGGGAAGACAGGACGGCAGGGTGCCATGGTGCCCACAGCACAGCAGTGCTACTAGAAACAAACCAGGAAAATTAGTGTTCAGGCAAAGATCACCCTCAGGAAAGAGAAGCCAAGCGCTGGCCTTGGCAGGGGCAAGATGGGAGGAGAGCCAATCTTTTTTTCTTCACTGAAAACCCCTTTTTTCTTTTTTCTCCCCAGACAGTGAGATCTTTGCTCTGGCACCTGACACCATAGAGAGAGTGCTAGTTCTCCCTCCTCACGTGGTTGGTTTCTTTCCTGATTAAAAATGATTAGGCAGCCCTAAAGCCCAAAGAAATGCGACCATGGGGTAACAGAGACAAAGAGTCCATTCAAGATCTCCTAAATCCCCAGGGCAGTATTTAGAGAGCCCCAAGGAGAGAACTGGAGCAGAACGACCCCACCAGGACCTCCCTGACCTTCTCCTTCCCACTGCATCCTTTGTTGCAGCCGTCTCCTCCACCATGTCATTCTCTGAGGCAGAGGTGCAAAGTGCCCGTGGCGCCTGGGAGAAGATATATGTGGATGCTGAGGACAATGGGGCAACTGTGCTGGTCAGGTAAGGAAAGAACCCATCCCACTGCTACCCCTGAGTGTTGAAGGACGAACAGCAAGAAGGATGGAGTTACCACCTAGGAGCATGTCTTGATGAGTTTCACGCAGCCTTTGCTGGGCACAATTTGGATTGCTGTGGTTTATCTCACCTCAGGGAGGAAACGGGAAAAAGGAGAGATCCACACAAATGAAAGTAGAAGGCAAGAGGGAATGGGGTGGGAAAGAAAGAAGAGATGAGAACAATTTCTTCACTCCACCCACTTAAGGTAAAGAAAAGAAAGTGTGGTATGAAAGAGAATGGGAACAAAACATGAACCCTATTTCCCTCTTACCTTTTTCCTGTAAATTGCTTTAATGATATATTTTTTTTAACTTCCATGTCCTCAATATTTCTCTTCCAATTCTCCTTCAGCCTTTCAAGTCCAGAGCCCATCTCTTTCATTGTATTGCACCTTTCCTGCAGGCTTTCCTCTCTTAGTTTTCATTCTGTTTTCCTCTCCTATTCCATAGACAGAAGTTTCTTCTATTCACCTTTCACGTATCCCTCTCTCAGCTGTGACTTACATCACTTCCATACACACTGACCAGTCCAAATGCTATTTCTGGTTATCGTACCTTTAGCCCTCCCTCTGGCTTTCTCGTGTATCACATCATCACGTGCCTGGATCAGCCTTCTGCAGTCTACACAAACTGAGGACAGTTGGGGTCAGAAACACAGCTATAAAATGCTAGTAGCATCCAGTGGCCTGGCTCCTGGGGGTAACTCACTCTAGAAGGCTTTGCCTTAGTGTCCTACAGCCCCAGACTGTAATTGATATATTGTAAAAGGCAATTCCTTTATGAATGGCATTGAGTTGTGTTATTTTTGAATAAACGAAATGAGCGATACCCAGTACTCAAACAACAATCCATCACAGGCAGTAAGAAAGCTCTGGGATAAACTCTAGGAAGGGGTTAATTAACAATACCAATAGTAGTTCTTCTCCATGAAAACACCCACCAAGAGCACAGTGGACATATTTGCTGTCCAGAACATCTTTGGGAATATCACACTGTCACCCTCACCCCATGTGAAATGGCTCCCACTTCTTTGTGGATTTTAGCTCCCCTAACACTGAGCCAACACTGAGGAAAGGTTTAC